TCTGGTGAAGCAACCATGGAGTCATTGACTGCAACTTGGGGCATCTTGTCAATGGCCTCATCATTGATGACTGAGGGGCGATTGAGAATTGCTTCAAAGTGTTCAGCCCATCTCTGGAGAATCTGCGTCTTCTCTGTAAGGAGCACAGTACCATCAGAGTTCAGGAGGGGAAAGCTCCCAGAAGACTGTGGACCATCGAGTGTGTTAAGGGCTTCATAAAACTGTTTAAAATCATTCCTGTCCGCATATGCCTGTATTTCATCTGCTTTGGCGCTCAGCCACAAGTCCCACATTTTGCGCAATTGGTTCTGTACTGTTCTGCGAATGTTGATAAAGGCGGTCTTCTTTGCCGCCGAGGATGGATCGTTTTGATATGCACGATGCAGGCGGTGCTTCTCAGCAAGTAAGGCCTGGATTTCTGCATCATTTTCATCAAACCAGTCTTGCCGCCTGCATGTGGAGGGCCCCAATACCTTCGATGCAGCTGTATGGACAGTGTTGCGGAATCGCTCCCAGTCTCTCAGCATCATCCTCAATACGAAGATCAGCAAGCTCATTCTCTAGGTCTTCCGCTAGATTTTCAGTGATGCGGCTGTTCTTTAGCTTCGACATGCTGATCCTTTTGAGAGCCTTACAGCCTTGTGGTCATCTCTTCGGCATGATACGGAGCTTCATTTTGGATACTATGAGCCTATGATCCGTCCAACAGTCAGCGCCACACATAGCTTTTGTAACCCTGACATCTTGTCTGTCCCTTCTCCTGATGATGACATAATCGATCAAATGCCAGTGCTTGGAACGGGGATGCATCCACGAAGTCCTGTTGCGGGTAGGAAGGCGGAAGACCGTATTGCTGATCAGAAGGCCATGTGCTGCACAAGTTTTCAGCAGTAACAGGCCATTGCTGTTGCACTTTCCCACTCCATTTTTCCCCGATGACTCCTTCCCAGGCTGCGGCATCGCATCCGACTCTTGCGTTAAAAATCGCCAAGCAGAATCAGCTTGTCTGTGCGGTGCACTGACGATAACAGAGTATCTAGTTCTTCGTAGAATTTATCCTTCACATCCTCTGGGTTGGTCATTGTAGGAGCATATGCGCTGATCAAAGTAGCTTGTTTTCCTTTTTGAAGCGGAAGCTGCATTGTCATGAGCCGGTCATTCATACCCTTGGGGGAACTGGCAAGTTTCCGAACAAGATGATTCTTGATGGCGAAGCCAACTCCAGATTCGCGATGCTCATCACTGCTGTGGCCACTCCAGAAGAATGTATAGCCACCACCTGACTCGGATAGCTGTCCTTCATTAGCAAGGCGAGTTTCGCTAAGGGCTGCAATGTCAATGTTGTAGCGTGCGAGCTCTCTAGCAACAAGTGCTGTTCTTCTCTCCGGTCTGTCTGCCGTGATGTTGTCCAGTAACGTGCGCACATTCCATGTGCCAATAGTGATCGGTGTCACTCTAAATTTTGTTTTTATTTTTGTTCGACCGCTTTTATGGGATCCCCGCCAGCTGCGGTATGCTGGCCAGGGTAAGGTGAAGCAGGCAATGTTTAGGGCACCTTTTCTAGCCCCCTCCTCGTTCTACGGAGGTGAGCAGTGCAATCCTGAATAGGGCTGCTCAGTCGCTCAAGAAGATGCCGAGCTCCAGTGCTGCTTCGGTCAGCGAGGAACGACCATTATGCCTGAGCCGCCTATGTGCAGGTCTGCGGCTACAGCTCCCAGTGTATCCACACCTGCTGCTTCGTCGCTCGCCCATCGCCACAGGACTTGATATGATGTGATATGATATGTCGAGACTTGCGCGTGAATTGGATTAAAGTGAGGGAGAGTTGCGCAACGTCAGCCTCACTCTCTTTTCCCAGTTCCTATCTGTATCCAGTGGCAAGACAGAAGTCAAGACGGCTGGAGATAGGACAGGGCGCAGTGGATGACCAGGACGCCTACGTGTCTTGTCGTGCTCTTAAGCGTTCCACAACGCTTGCTGTCACCACCTTCCTGACCATTGAACCAGGTTGCCTCAGTCAGCCGGATCCAGCCTTCGCATGCAATGGGTAGAGAGGCCCTGACTCACCGAGAGTCTCATACTCATCAGCTACCCTCACCTGGTTTAGCCCACCAGTCGAGACGGTCTCCAGGGTGTGGCCACTGTCGCATGCTGACAGCTACTTGGAGCCACAGGTGAGAGCTGGGTGTCAAGTGGGGACCAAAGTGGATGAGCTACTCCTAGGAGTACGACTGCTCCCCCAGAGGTACTACCCCTCCCTGACAACCCCAATAAATCAGTCATGTACTACATCAATGTTGAAGGACCCATTCTCTCCCAACCCCCATGTTGGGAGACTGACTGTCTATGGGAGTTCTGCATTGTGTACTCGATCGAAATCGAGGCTTCATACCTGCCAGGGGTGCAGAACCAGCTTGCGGACTGCCTCAGCAGGTCCTTCTCCACTCATCTCTATGCCCAGATGTCACGGTGAGCATCTTTTGCAAAAGGGGATTTTCCCCACATAGATTTGTTTGCTACACGTTCCAACAGAAAGAGCCAACAGTTCTGCTTCCTGAGGGGTCACAGCCCGGCTCCATGATGGATGCCTTTCTGATGAGGTGGTCGCACTACCTATTCTATGCCTTTCCGCCCATCCTGCTGATTCACAATTTGCTGATAAAGATCAAGCAGGATTGGGCTCGGGTTATTCTAATAGCTCCCAGCTTGGCCTAGGTAGCACTGGTACACACCTTGCTTGTTCATCTCTCCCTTGAGACCCCACTCAAGCTCTCTCTGTACCCAGACCTGATCTTGCAAGACCATGGTCGGCTGCTCCACCCGAACCTCAGCTCTCTGAGGCCTGAAATCTGCGTGGCTGAACCCCGACGAACAGGCTTGTTTGGAGCAGATCTGCAAAAGTCTCCTGGGCAGAAGGAAACCTTCCATGAGTACAGCTTACTATGCAAAGTGGAAGCGGTTCTCTCTCTGGTCATCCAGATGTGGAGTCCTGCTGACGCAATCTTCGCTTCAGTAATTTAAGATCAACCTCCTATCTTTGAAAGAACAGGGCCTGACCCTTTCCTCTATAAAGGTCCAGTTGGCAGCCATTTCAGCATTCCATCCGAATGTCAACAATAGGTCGGCGTTCTCCCTTGGTAGAAATGGTAGACGGCTTCCTCAAAGGTCTGGAGAGGACATTTCCTCAGATGAGGGAACCTCTCCCCCCATGGGACTTGAATCTTGTCTTCTTGAAAGTGACGTGGCCACCCTTTGAGGCACTGGCGATGCATTCTCGACTACATCTTTCGTGGAAAACAGCCTTTCTGCTGGTGATTACTTCGGCCAGGAGGGTGTCGGAGATCTGAGCCCTCATGGCAGAACCCCCCTATACAGTTTTCTTTATGGACAAGGACCAGCTTCAGCCGCACCCAAAATTTCTCCCAAAGGTTGTGTCCCAATTCCACTACAACCAACCAATCTTTCTGCCAGTCTTTTATCCTAAACCTCATACAAGTAAGGAAGAACAACGCCTGCATTCCTTGGACATAAGACATGCTCTGGCATTTTATATTGAAAGGACCAGACCATTCTGTAGGTAACTTCAGCTCTTCATAGTGATAGCTGACAGAATGACAGGGCTTCCCATCGCTGCCCAAAGGATCTCGTCTTGGATCACATCTTGCATACGAGTGAGCTATGACCTTGTGGGCATTTCCCCTCCACCGAACTTAACTGTCCACTCCATGAGGTCTCAGACCTCTTCGGCGGCCTTCCTAGCACAGGACCCATTCCAGGAGATACGTAGAACAGCAACCTGGTCCTCAGTGCACACGTTCTTCACACACTATGACCTCTCCTGTCATTCGTGAGTTTGCAAATATTATTGCCAGCAGCTCTGAGATTTCTTCAGCTAATTCCTTCAGCAGCCTGGGGTGAACAGCATCAGGCCTCGCTGACTTGAATTCATTCAAATTAGTCAGAAGATCGCTGACATGTTCTTTACTTATCCCGATCTGCATCCCTTCCCCTTTGTCTATGGTAACTTCACTAGTCGTCCGGTCACGTTATTTTTTTGCGAGAAGAATTAAGCCCCACTTTACTTAAAGGTAAGTTTTGCACTTTTCAGTCACTATTGCCATCTCCAGGAGGCTAGCCTTGATGACCTCTTGAGGTCCCTTCCAGCCCCACATTTCTATGATTCTATAACTGTGTATGCACATGCCTTTACACAGAATGAGAACAGCCTGGGGAAAAAGGCACTGGCATACAGGGTCTGTAAGGTTACAAACAGACAAAAGTTAATAGAAATAGGAACTGGTTTCCTGAAGTCACAGATCAGGAAATAGGAACTGGAATAGTAAGGGACCAGGTTACAAGCAAATAACATAAGCAATGTCAATTGGCAGGATAGGGAGGGGTGGCTGACAGCAGACTCAGAGTGAGGATAGGGGGCTGTTATACAGGAGACAAGGATGACAGAATTAGCAAGATGTATGGGTATGTTTGACAAAAACTAGATATACCATGTTTCAGAGTAGCAGCCGTGTTAGTCTGTATCCGCAAAAAGAACAGTGTCTGTACTTGGCTACCTTGATTATCACTTCAAAAGTTTTTTTTCTCTTACTTAATTGGCCTCTCAGAGTTGGTAAGACAACTCCCACCTGTTCATGCTCTCTGTATGTGTGTATATATATCTCCTCGATATGTTTCACTCAATATGCATCCGAAGAAGTGGGTTGTAGCCCACGAAAGCTTATGCTCTAATAAATTTGTTAGTCTCTAAGGTGCCACAAGTACTCCTGTTCTTTTTGTAGATATACCATGACACCTCACAGGGTCATTCACAGAAGCGCAGAAACAGAGAGCTGACTTCACTGTTGGCCTCTTGTCTATTTCTTTTAGAGTAGAAGCTCCTCAGGATAAGGTTAAAATCTTCCCTTATGTCATGCACACTGTCCCTTTCTTCTGGTTTAAAAAACACTGTCCTCTCCCCATGCTTTTTTTTCCTAATCCAACAGCCAAGTTTCTGAATCTTATTCACCATGCTGCACTGGAGCCAACCAAGAAATACACAGAGCCACAGACAGAGAGCCAGGAAATTGGCTGGAATACCACTCCCTTGGTGAGTAGGATCTCTAAACGCTCTCTAGAGTATAAAAAGGAGCAGCTCAATGTAGGCCTTTGAACTCATTTCTCTGTTTGAGGAATAAACCCGGAACAAACTTGAAACAAATATAACCAATGGAACAAAAAAGTGTGGGAAACAGGTTTGGGAAAGAGCTGAGGTGCTAGTGGGTAGCAAATTGAACATTAAATTTTAGTAGAACGTGATGGAGTATGCAGCTCTACTCAGAGGTGCCAACTTTCCGAGTTCCGGGTGGGGTGGGTGTGTGCGCGCACTCAACCCCTGCTCCACCTCCGGCTCCGCCCCCACTCCACCCTTTCCCCCAAGCCTGCACCCCAGCCCTTCCTCCCCCCCCACCCCCCAAGTTCCTCCTGCATGCTGCTGTACAGCTGATCGCTGTGGGCAGGAGGCACTGGGAGGGAGGGGGAGGAGCTGATCCGCAGGGCCTGCCGGTGGGAGGGCTGTGGGGGGGAGGAGCTGATCCACGGGGCTGCCAGTGGATGCTGAGCACCCACTATTTTTTTCCATGAGTGCTCCACCCCAAAGCACCCACGGAGTCTTGCCTATGGCCCAACTTGCATAGGCACTGCAGAGTACAGAGGTGAAGTGATAGTCCCCCTCTCTCAATCTGCTGCAACCATATCCAGAATATTTGCATTCAGTTCTGATAACATCAATATCATATGCTACAAATGTTTGTAGGTAAATGTGGTATGACTATATCCTTTAGGTAGGTGGGAAGAAAGAACCAGGAAACTACTAATAAACCAGAGGTGTATCCCAGTCAGAATATGTATTCTGATTTATGATAAGGAATCAACATGGAAATACTTGAGGAGAAAAGATGTGAACTCTGACACATGGGTTTATTAAAAACGGATCACGTCTGACAAACTAATAGCAGTAATCATGACTGATCCAGCAGAGACTTCTGAGGTTCCACTAAAGCAAAGGAGTGCCTGAAGAATTCTGGTAAATTTCTTCTTGGAAACCAATTAGTTGAGGGAACATAAAACTGATATAATTGTATTTGTTTCAAAGTAGAGACAGGATTGCCACAGGTCAATTTCTTAGAGCTTCCTCTACTCAGAGGGGAAAAGAGCAGACAGGCAGTCAATGGGGTAGAGTAGAGGGCTTTAGTCTTTTCAAAAATTAGCTAGTTCCTAGATGGATAACACCTGCAAACAGGCTATCACTTAGGGGGTAACAAGGTGTATAGCGCACCAAGGGGAAACAATTTCTGGCTGCAGGGATTCTTATATAGACCCTGTGCAACTCACCCCTTCTTGCTACTGACTCCTGGCTTGATTGGTAATGTACTTCCAACCAGCCACAAAAAGAAAAACGTTTACTCTTTACTCCAGACCTCACACATTCCTGCTGGCTTTAGTGACATGTTTTTATCCTTTATACCATTAGCCTGCAACAAACGCAGCTAAGGGGTGAGGGATTCCATTCCTGCATCAAACAATTGTTAACTAGTTCCAGCTCCAGAAATGTTAATGCTATGGTGCATCTCAGGTGAGTCAGAGTTACTGGTGACAATGCCTGAGCTAGAAAGAGCCCAGCTTGACTTTCAGGTGGTTGACTGAAGTTGCAGGACTAGCAGCAATGGGCGAGGGAAAAGAAATACATCTAGAATTGAGCACATCTAAATTGGAGTTAGAGACAAACCTAGGAACTCTCAGTACCATTTTTACAGATCACTTTAGAAGTGCAGTTACCAAAAGACAAATGAAGTTTCCTTTTTATGAGCACCTGGCTACTGTAGTAATCCAACAGTGAAGATTTGATGGACCAATGGCCGGTATGGTAAATCCTATTTATTGCTTTTACCTTAGTGATGATCAGCCAATAACCTGAAATACGAGATTCAGTTACCTTGTTAATCATATAGTCATCCAGTCATGCAGCAGTGAATTGCAGCAACTGACTCCTTGAATCCTTGATCTCAAAGAGAACATCTCCTGGAGACGCTCCTCACACTTTGACCATTTTCTCTTCCACAGATTAGTGTGGACCGCACTGACCGCAGACTGTACTTCCCATGCCGGAACAGTGAGATCACCAAGTACATGGCTGCCATGTGGCGCCTGAAGGAGCAGAGTGAGAACATGCAGTAGGGTGGTAGTAGCAACATTGCTTTGCTAGGCAGAGTTGTATGGTGGTGGGAGTTTCTAAACAACGTTGCCACCTCCTCATTGCCATGAGTAGCCCTGTAGATTTCTGAGCAAGGGAGGAGGAATCTCCAGCTGGGCCATACCTCCTGGAAGCTGACAGCTGTTACAGAAATAAACCCATGTGAAAGTTCTGCTTTTCTCTCTTACTGCTCTCATCCAAGTGGATGTACTAACAACCTGAGAAAGGCTCTACCCTTTTGACAGGCTCCAGGCTTGAGACTGTAGCAAAGCCAGTATTTACTAAGTCTGACCTGGAGGTTAAATTCCCCACTTTTACCAAAGGCAGCTGTGGAAAGAGCCATGGGGATCCTCCAATCCCAGTCACAATGAGGGACAGATTTCAGGTCCCTTCCTCAAACACAACACTGAAGATACAAGAACCAAATGAGATCTGTCCACACTATTTAATGAGTTCACAGAGGCCAGGCCCAAGGCTTGAGAAGCAGAAAAAAATCTTGGAGGAAAACTAACAGTACAAAGGAATTAGTGACTGTACATGCACTTCCACTGCAACCATGTGCGTCAAATGGCACCATCCAGCTTGGTCTACAGCAGTTAGAACTGCCTGAAGACTCCAGTGTCAGAAGGAACACCACCTGCAATTCATACATACATAGAAACTAAACCAAAGCCACTGGGAAGCAGGGTCTATCCCACTCAATCCTTATCAGGTTCGACTCTTCATTTTCTGCCTCATCTTTCTGCCCGGTCTCTTCTGTAAAAAGAGAATGACAAATTTAGATCTCTGGTTTTGAAACCCACCCCCTGCTTTTGGCCTTATAGCATGGGAAAGAAGGGGCCTTGTCAGAGCAATGATGCTCACCTTTCAGTTTTTCTGATGCAGGAGTTCAGAACACTGGTAGGGATAAACATGGTATTTTCTCACTCACCTGCACACAATTCCCTTTGGCATGGAACTTGCTTTCCCCCATTCATATCAAACCAACCTACCCAGCCTTGCCCACCACCTAATCAGTCTTGGTCCCCAAATACGCAGAGCTCATGTACCACTCCTAACACACATATAGCTCTTCCCTTTGTGGCCAGGGCCTGTCTCCCACTAATGCACAGGACTGGTAATGTGTAGGACACACGTCTCACTCACATTGGAACCTTTTTTCCCTGCTTTCCCAGGGCCCTTGTTGTGGGCCACACTAGCCCGGAAGCTGGATACATCATTGTGACTCTCCCGTGTGTTCCATTTTGAGCCTCTCTTCTTCCCACCAAAACCAAACTTCTGATTCTTGTAACGTCGCTTGGCGTTTGGTCTGAAACAGAAACAACCCGTCATCTCTGCTAGGTCCCCACTACCCTCCCTCAGTGAGCTTGCTTGAAAGCACATGTGCGATGTGGGAAGCTCCCATCCAGCTCCTCCTAGGTGATGCTCATGTCACTCTAGATTCCATCAGATTTATTTCCAGCTATCGAAAAGACCCATTTGTCTCCCTCTCTCATTGGAAAAGGGCAAAAATATGTAAGACACTCCAGCCTCTGCCCCACCTTGTTTATAACCAGCTTTTCCTCTCTGCAAGTGTTTGCTACCAGCAGACCTCCTCCCTGAGGTGCATAAGATTGAACATTAGCATTAAGAGCTAGGAATTATCTGCTGCCATCTCGGAGACAGCTGGGGCCTGGTACTATCCTGAAAAATAGCTTTGAAGACTCAGATGGGGATGTATGGGCCCCAGCTGCAATGCCTCTAACTCCCCCATCTCACCCTTTCTTTATTCGTTGACCACCATCTCCTTCCTTCTTCCCCTGATGTGGTGGTGGCTGCTCCCCATCCAGGAAATCCAGCTTGTCAGAGAGACCTGCAAGAGCAGAACGTTTGTGGAGCTGCTACCATTGAATCAGACAGAAGAATTTCCAATGTGAGTAAGAGTTACAGCATTAGTTAATGGCAGTTTTATCCCCCACTAGGCAATGCCTATTTAAGAGTCTTTATGCTGCCGCTGCTGCTGTCCTGTGCACTTCCATGTTCAGCGATGCTCTCTTCCAACTCACTCCTCTCCCGTTTTGGCTAATGACACCCCACATGCTGCAGTGCTCTGTTATCTCACTGTCCTCCCTCTCCCTCAGCACTCTCTTGTGGTGAGACTGATGACTTCACCTTTCTGGTATTTCTTGATTGCATTCAGCACAGTTGCTTTTTCCCTTTGCCTCTTCTGCAGAACCTCTGTTTGTACCTGTAACAAGAGACAATATGGGTTTTGTTCCCTACTATATCCCAGACCAGGGGTTCTCAAACTGGGGGTCGCGAGCTGTCAGTCTCCACTGGGGGGGTCGCACTCAGAGGCTTGCTATGTGAAAGGGGTCACCAGTACAAAACTGAGAACCACTGCCCCAAACCCTCCCAAAGGGCTCCACTGTCTTTATATTTTCCCCCTCCACACCCCCGAACAGGAGTGGTAAACTGGCCAAACAGCTTCATGTTCAAGGCCCTCCCTTGCAGTATCCCCAGACAACAGCTGGAAATGCTGTCCAAGAGGTTTCACTCTCTGGGTTCTCAAACAATAGCTGGGACCACCCCCCACAGGTCCAGGGTCTTGCCACTGATGGATTCCCTTCTTGCCCGATAAGTTTCTCCACCTCCTCACCTTTTTGCCATATTTTCTCAGTGCACGAAGCTGTTTTGCTTTCTCAGACTTCTCCATTGCCGCCTGTTTGCTCTTAAGCTTGTGTCGAATCTTATTAGGAAACGAATCAAATGTGCTTGTTATGCAAAGGAAGATGTGGCTATGTGAACCATGAGCTGGATAAGCCATATCAGTAGGGCCATTACTCAGGTATAAAAATAACACGTTGTAAATCTTTACACTATGCACTAAATGTCGTCTATATTTATTAAATCCCCAAGGTCCTCCTAAGGCTGCTGCCTAGACCCAGTGCCAAATTCTCTATTGTATGCAGTGATTTTTAGATACAGCTTCCTCCCTCTCTCTCTCCAATAGGGGCAGATAAATCAAGGTTGGGAATGCTCACTGCAGAAACTCATGGCCTTCTGGTTTTCTTCAACCCAGATTTGGCCAGAAGATTAATGACATGTACAGAGATCAAGTGCAGCCTCAAGAGAACAAGCTCTTACTGAACAGAGTGAGACAAAGCTATCATTTTTGCCCAATCCTTTTGGATTTATAGATGAGATTGAGCAGTTCCCCGAGAAGGGACCTGAATTTTGGATAATGTTAGTGAACTCACTGGCCTCTCCCCGCCACAGAATTCAATCTTTCCCCTTCTTCCTCACCCCCAAACAATTAAAAGCTTTTACTGGATTTTAAGTAAAAATGCAATTATACAATCAATCCAAGATTAGAGAGATTCTTACTGGAAAAATTCTGCAATATATGGAGGTAACAATTGAAGCATAAGAATAAACCTCTGCTCTTCCAAAGAAAACCAACAACAGTAAGAAAAAAAACTTGTTTTCACAGTGAAGTCCTTCCCTGGGAATAATGGTCAGAGCTTCAGGAAGATTCTGTCAGGCCATGAGAACATTGGGGAAAAAGTCCTGGTTTTAATATTATAAAAACCAAATTCTGTAATATGAACCTAACAGTCAGACTCTGGATTAAAATATCTGATATATCCAGTTCACTCCTGACTCCCAATTCCCTACTATAATCATTTATATTTCACTTTACAATTCCCCTGTGAGCAAACGATTTCAAAATTGTCCATTATATGGTGTTTTTTGCACTCTCCTCTGAAGCATCTATCACAGGGCACTCTTGAAGACAGACTAGATCACTAGTCTGGATTCCATATGTGCTGACAGACTTCTCAAGTCTGACCATGTTTCACTGATTGAACAATGATACATCTTAAAGTTTGTGCTTTATGTAGTCTAAAACCCACAGTGGGGAATCTGAAGGAAGAAAAGATGTCCAATGCCAATCCAAGTTTAATACCTTCTGCATCTGTTGGTCAGATTTGGCCATCTCTGCAAAGTAATCATCTGGCCTCCTTGTGGGGACTTTTTGGTGATGTAGCCAAGGCAGGGCCTTCAGCACTGCTGCTTGGGCCTGACGGTAACTAGGAAAACAATGGGACAGCAAGTTAAAGTTAACAGTAAGGTCTAAAGCACACTGGGCAGGGACATCAGGAACTCTGCTCATATTAGCTATTTGATGCAAGATAAATAAAATTTACATGAAATCCCAAAACTATATCAGAGCAACATTAAAAATGCAAAGAGCCCAGAAATTAAGGTGCCAACAACATTAACCGAGACACATTGCTCATGTTGTATTTCTATTCCTGTTTTTCTGGTTAACATGCAGTTTACAATTTTACAAATTGTACTGTAAAATGCAAACCATAAAATAGGCAGAATTGCCATGACACCAAGATGCTACAGGAACTTCCATTTTTACTTTGGAACTTTAGTGGTGTACTACAGGTATTTTTTATTTAATATATTTTTTGAAGAAATTATCTGTTTAATTAGGCATGGAAATTAGTTACCACCTTGCAGCTGCTGCTGTTTCGTTGGAGACGGTTTTCTACAAGACTGGTTTAACAGGGCAGCAATTTGTTTACATTGTGCAACTATCCTGGCAAATTTAATGTAGGTTTAGAATGTACCGAATACCACCACGTACAAAAAAATTACAGTGCCCATGATTCTCTCATGTCCTTGAAATTAAGACAGTCTGGAGGATTTCATTGTATATGTTTCAAGGAGATAACATCCCACGTGAAAACAGAGACCACCTCAAGACCTCTGGTTAGGAGGTCACAGATATAAAATATATATCAATTTTAGGATTTTCTACTGCCAATCATTACTAAAGTACCCGAGTGCCTTCCACACAAAATACAGCTTGATATGGTTTAATATACTCCCCCCCCGCCCCCCCCGAAGTTTATATTTTGTAAGGAAGCAGTTCTCTAAAGAGAACTTAATATATTTGAATTTAATAAAAAAAGAATTTTCTTAACAAGAAAATTCAACACTTATTTCATACTTTAAATTTAAGCTTTTTTATCTAGCTGAGATTTAAATTATCTGAATATAAAGCACAGTTTAAGAGTCTATTTTAAGAATCAACCAAGGTTTGTATTACTAAAATATTTTCTCATGATTGATAATTTTATAATGCAGGCCTGCCAAAAGAGGTAAAGCACAAAATCTCAGAATCCAAAACATGGAAGGATTTCAAGCTTCAAGATATCTTGATCTATTTTGGAATATATTTTGAGGGTTTATAGCAGCATGACACACGGGTGTTGAGTTGTTACACATGTATATACATTAGAGATTGAAAGTGATGTGACATCGGCATGTGGATGG